CAGCTGGGATGAACATCCTCAAGGGCAGATTTTAATCCCCAATACAAAGCATTTCCATCATCTCTCACTAAGGCTTTCAAAATGACCATTCCTGGTGAATAAGAATATTTCACAGGATGGGGCATATCTCTCCTAAGGTAGAGGGATCCAAAGGGGCTTGTACATGAATCACGGGAGGCCCTGCCCTCCTTCCTTTCACAAGGACATGTTTTGCAAGAATGAGATGGGTGATGCTTACAAAGTCCAACCTGCAGTGGGACACTGTCACTCTAGAACTTGTGTGACTGATTTCTAAGCAGTTGGGAAGCATCAGTTCAACAATTTTGTGGCTGTTGGTTACAACCATGGCATTTATTCAGCACTGGAGTGTGACAAGAGGGGAAGAAGGAATGTTTGACTAAGGGGGCCCTCCACCCATTGCCTTTCACCTACCTTAGCCTCTGAGCAGCATTCAGGAGCTGAGCTCCTCCCCAGGTGAGCAAAGACTCATTGAGCACCCCAGGTCGGCTCCCTTCTGTTGTGTGTTCTCTGCTGGGCAGGTGTGAGCTCTAGGGATAAGGCTGCTGTACACAGCATCAGGGCTGAGAAGCACGGCAGTGGTCCATCAGATGATTCATTCATTCAATCATTAAAAGGCATCTAGTGGCTGGGGTTGTGACTCTGTTAGTAGAATGCTTGCCTAGAATGTGCAAGGCTCTGGGGTCCATCCCCAGCACTGCTGGAAAAAGAGAGAGAGAGAGAGAGGAGAGAGAGAGGGGAGAGAGAGAGAGAGAGAGAGAGAAGGCATGGAGTATGGACTGTTCATCAGGAACTCCTGGAGGCACGGGTAATATGGCAGATCACTGAGAAGGGAAGAGATGTGTGAAGGACAAGGAAGCAGGAAGCCGGGGTGAGATGAAGAGTCAAGGGAGCCTGACTGAAGAGAAGACATTTTGAACACAAGCTGGAACAAGGGGAGAGCATGGTTTGTATGTCTTGCTTCCGGAAAAAGAGTCTGCAGGCAAAGAATGGCCTCCATCCCTCTTTTTATCCTCAGAAAGTTCTATGACATTTCTAGAGACTCGGTAGTAACATGTCGTGTTGAATTGAAGATATTCTCCTCAACCAAAGTTTAAAAGAAAACAAAGGTTAATATTAAAGCAAAACACTTCACTCCTCAGGGAAAATATGTTAGTCACATTCTAGAACTTCTGTGGGAGGAGGGAGAGGATTTTCAGTGAAGCAGAAGGACTGTAGATGCCAGCTGCACTTGCCCAGAGCCACAAGCAGTGGCTGGCACTCTGCATCCTGAAAAGCCCTCCTTTTCAGAGTTTGGAAGGCAAAATGTAAGGCCAATGCCCTGCTGAGAAGTCGCAGATATACTGCACAAGCAAGATAAGGAGGAGACAGGGACACACTTCTTATGATGGAGGTATTTAAACGTCAGCCGTGACAGAACAGACTTAGTAATAAGAGCCAGGGGCACAGTACTGCTCCGGGAGCTTCTTCCTTAATTTCATGGCACAAACCCTGGAGGACAAGAGCCCTGTGCTCCCTTTGATCATATGGAACCCGAACCTAGGAGCTCAGGGGCAAGACTTAGGTTTTCTAAATTACCAGTGTTGACACGGGTTTCCTTGGCCATGCCTCTTGCTGGTACCTTATCCTAGGGTGACTGAAAAGGACAGAAAGGAAAGAGTCCATAGGGCGGGAACATAGGACAGGGCTAAGAAAGCGGGCCCCAGAGTGGGAGCTGGCAGCGGGAGATTGAGTGACAGAACTGAGGAGAGGCACAATAGGGAACCGGGTGGGAGGGGGCAGGGCCGGTGGGCGGGGGCGGGCAGGGGCCAGCTGGTAGTGCTCCTGTCCTTTGAGCCTCTGCTGTGCTTCCTTAGTCTTTCCTTCTTTCACTGGCTTCACATTTTTTAAGGGCACAGGTCGGTTATTTTGCAGACTCTCTCTCAATTTGGGTGGTCTGACGTGTCCTGATCAGATTTAGGTTATGCATTTTTATTCTTCTCAGTACATTTCCTCAGGAGCCTCGTGGACTTTGTTCCATTACTTGTGATTCGAGTTGTGTGTTAGGTGCTGTTCACTGTATTTCTTTACTATCAAGTTTCTAACTCCTTCTTTGTAATTCAGTCGCACTGAGAGCAAACTTATGACCTTTGACTTTCTGAGTCTCACTTATTTAGCACAATGCTCTCCAGTTCCATCCATTTTCCTGCAAATGACATGATTTCATTCTTTTCCATAGCTAAATAAAACTCCATCATCTGATTCAAATGTATGATATGTCATGATCATTGTACTGTCATGTGTATCTAATTAAAACAAATTTTAAAAAATTTAAAAAGAAAGAAATCAAACTACTTGAATTCATGTAAAAATTAAAAGCAAAATGCAGCCTGTAATTGAGTTTTTGGATTAATTAAAAATATTGGAGAATTAAAAAATAAAATAAAATAAAACTCCATGCGTATATATACCACATTTTCTTTATCTATTCCTGTGTTGACAGACACCTAGTCTATTTCCATAATTCAGCTTTTGTGAACTACACTACTATAGAGATGGGACATGGGTGTGCATGTATCACTCTAGTGTGCTGACTTCACAGACATATCTTCTGTCTCTGTGGCAGAGTAACCTACTAAAGAGAGTTTGATATTTGTTTAGAATTCTTATTGTCTTTAGTTGGCATATAGTCCAAATAGTATGACCCCTGTGTTTTTATAAACAAACACAAGTATGCTCTCCCAGCTTCTCTGGGAAGTGAGGCATGAAATGCAAAAGGGGAACGCATATTTCCTTTCAGTCAGAGAATGCTCTGCTTTGCTATTTGAGCTGGGCTGCTCTTATATTCCACATGAGAAGAGTAGGCCGAGGACTTCTGAGGCTCACTTCTCTGCACTTTATCCTCTGAGTGGACGCTTTCCTCTCTTTAGTACAAATGTTTAGCACCAATGACATAGTGTTCAAGCAGTCATTATTTGGAGGGAAATAATAACAGTGTTGCTTTTGAAGGTCCCTGAACAAAGTTTTATATTATAATCATTCCAGTTATTCAAAAAGAAGCCAATTGATCAGCTGTTTCTGAGATCTCCCAGAAAGGCTCTCCAGGGAGGGACCTGAAGATTCTACCTGTAAGACTGGAAATGGCTCTTGTGAAGCAACAGTTGGGTATCAAGTTCTTGACCTAGATCATGTCAGGGGGCCTCTGTGACATTGTGTTGTCACTAGGAGGCAGCCTCTGAAGAGACAAGGGAATCTCCAGATCAGCAGCTTTGCCCTGTGGTGAGGCAGCAGGAAGGCAGCACTGAGGCCAATTCCACTAAACACCTCACGTCATACCCTCGTCTCAGATCATACTGTGATTCTGCCCAGGGAGACTGTGGGCAAATTACCAAGGACATCAGACTGTGCTGGCCATAGATTTTCTAAGATCTGACTCAGGATTTGTATGCTAACCATCTCCATTTCCAAGCATCTGCCAAACAGTCCACTACTGCCCCCAGAGACATGCACACAGACACAAATACCAGACACATACGCATACCACACACGTCATACACAAACCACATAATACATTGTACACATACCACATACATAACACATACCACACACTTACACCACACAAACACATATACCCCATAGATGCATGACACACATATACATACCACACACATAAATACCCACTCACATAAACACTCATCACACACCAATGTACACACATTCATTCACCAAGCATACATCATACACACACATACATAGACTCAAATACATCATACAACACACATGCCACAAACACACAAAAACCACAAATGCACTCTGAGCCTGCCTTCCACCCTACTCTGCCAGGGACTTCTGGGTTCCTGCACCTTTGCCTGCTGGTACACCCTGCCCTCCCTGAGAAGGCTCTTCCCCCTCTCTCCACCTACTGACTCCCACAGTCCTGGGAGACTGTTGGAATCACTTTCAGTTTACAGCTAGCAGCTAGAAGCTATGAGCAGCTCGGAGTGCTTGAAGAATCTACACTCATTCAGGCCTGATAGGAATGCCTGCAGGATGGGATGCTCTGCTCTAGCAAGCCATTAGTGAAACCTCATCCTTAGCACTTGTGGTTAGTGTTGCCAAGCTGCCGGGCCAGGAAACTGATAGCCAGGAGCTTCAGGCATGAAACTCCTAACTTAGAAAACCCTCTCCCCTAGGGACAAGGACCCTTCCTGATGATAGCAATATTTGGAGCATCCTCATAGAGCGGTTACATTAGGCAGAAGATGATTAGCTTATGGATACTGGCATGCCCCACTCGAACCCTATAACAATTGTATGCATTCCAAAAATAAACTGAGCTACTGGACGACAACTTGAGGATTGTCTCCTGCCAGTTCTCTCACCAGCTTCCAGAGTCTGTGTGTTGATTCCGTGTCTCTACCCCACCCCCACCTCCCCACCCCACCCCCTGCGACTGAGGTAGCAACTAACTGACCACACAGTGCCAAGAATGTATGCAGGAGACAAGAATAACAGAGCCTTTTGATATGATCACTTCCCTCCTTTGAACCTCCATGTGAGGGTGCTCCTGATGACTGAGGATAAGAAGACACACACAACAAAGCCAGCAGAGGCCGCTGTGGCATCCAGCATGGGTGCGGCCACTGCTCTAGGACCCAGCCCCAGCTCTGCTGTCCCTTTAGCTTGGTGTCTCCTCCACCCCTCATTTGCCATTTCCAGATGGTGAACAACACTTGCCCTGTAGTTCATGTCCTCAGAAGTCCCCACAACACCTTGCACAAAAAATATCTTCAACAGATACGGGTGCTTAGGTTCAGCAAATGGGAATCATATATAACATGTTCCAAGCCTTATTACTAGCAAGGCTTAAGTCCACCTTGATTGGAGGTGACTATTTAGACATATGCCTGTTAGTGTCATATTAGTTTTATAAAAGTAAAATAATGAACTCTGTCGATGGTTTGTGGATATATCAGTCTAATTTTTATTTCTTTCTCTTTCAGGGTCAGAAAGCTTGGATAGAGAAAACATTTTACAAAAGGGAGTGTATTTTCGTAATTCCCAACACCAAAGACCCAAACAGGTAAGTTGGGATCCATAGTTAAGATATTATTCAGACCTGGGAATATCAACTATTCTCCTAGTATTTGGGGGAAAGGAGGAGATGAATCAAATAGGGTGACCAGAATCTAGTCCCCAAATTAGTCACTAACAAGGCAGTCACTGAGCTAATAAGTTTCTTTGTTAAGATATAAATAGCCTTAGAAAAAAGTGTCTATCACTTTCTCTAATATGAACTCTCAAAACCAGATGGTCCTACAGTGTTCCTCTTACCCTTAATGAGATCAAGAACTTGAGAATTTTGGACAGATGTCCAGGGTATCTTCTGGGCTTCCTCAATAATTTCATAATTTAGATGAAAAGGAATTTCCATCACAGGACAATATGGGTGGTTAAGGTAATTAGATATAATTTTCTTAAAGGGCTTAACTTGTACACAAATGTCAAACAATTTCATTCACATATATGAAATTGCATCTGTTATTAGCTGAAGATAAGGCCTTCTGAAGTCATGCAAGAAATCAGAGATGGATTTAACTAAAACATTTCATTTCTGAGGGAAAAAAACTTGTAAGGCTGAGTTTAGGGATGGGAGAATTGATTTATCCATATATTAACCATGAAATCCACCTACCTAACTGATTTTGAAGTGCACAGACTCTTAGAGATCACCTGGATCAAATTTTACACATGCAATCACAGTTTCCCCAAGAAGTCCCCAAGCTCCCCTGCCCCACATACTACCCTGCACATTCTTCTTCCTACTTGAACCCCAGTGATTGTCCCTCAAGATAGAACTGCCATTATGGTACAATGCCAGTGATCACACAAGTCTTTTCTTTATTGTACCTCTTTATTTTGTGGCACCTAAGCTCTCCTTAATAGTAACTATCCATGCTAGCCCCTGTTAGCACCTGCCAACATGACAGCCTGCCACACAGCCAAGTGGTCAGGCAGCAGAAGAGGCAGAAGAGCTTCAGGACTCACACACATATCTCCTCTGTGAGCTCTATGCATTCTCTAGCATGGACTCCTAAAATCTAGAATTTAAACAAACAAAAACTATTTAAAGCCCCTGTGAATAGTCTCAAAGGCAAACAACAAAGGGAGAAAAAAGCTTATTCAAGGAAATCTATTGAAGTTTGGTAGAAGAAATCTGTGGAATTTAAACAAAGAGAGTTTCCCCAATCCCAGCTCAGCAAGGTGGAGACTCTACTCTGTTATAGCCTAGAACACAGGACTCCCTCTACCCTCAGCTCCCAATCAAAACTCCTTTGTCCAGAGAGGAGCAGGACTCTGGCATTTCTCACTCAGTCCTCTGCTACCTATTGTTGAGGCTAAGTCCTGGGTGAGAGCAGTTGAGAGGTGAGAGCTCCCTTCCATCCAAATCCCATGTACATGAGCAGCAGCCAGAGAAAATAGGAGTAATTATACTGATTTTTGGAGAAAATAGACATTAAGGCAAAAAGTGTTGCTAGAGATAAAGAGGATTTTTTTTTGGTACCAGTGATTGAACCCAAGGGCATTTAACCACTGAGCCATATCTCCATCCCTTCTTAAATGTTTTATTTAGAGATAGGATCTGGCTAAGTTGCTTAGGACCTCACTAAGTTGCTGAGGCTGGCTTTGAACTTGTGATCCTCCTGTTTCAGCCCCCTGAGCTGCTGAGTTTATGGGCATGCATTAAGAGGAATATTTTTAAATGAAAAAGGGGTCAACCCACTAGGAAGTTATATGCAATTGTAGACATATATGTGCCAAAATAACAGCATTCCAAAATACATGAAACAAAATTGACAGCAATAATGGTAGATGTAAGTAATTCAACAATAATAGAGACTTCAAAAATCCCCTTTTCAATAACAGAACCCTTGGAAGATCAACAAAGGAATAAAAGACTTCAGCAACACTATAAAGCAACTAGACTTAACAAACATCTATAGAACATGCCACCCAAGAACAGAATCCACATTCTTCTTAAGTGCATGTGGGAAGATGCTCTGAGCTATGTTCCAAAATAGACCATATGTTAGTTCATAAAACAAGTCTCGATAAATTTAAAAGGGTAGAAATAATACAAAATATGTTCTCCAACCATAATGAAATTGGAAATAAGAAACCAATAAGAATGAAAAAGTTGGGGAACTCATAAATATGTGCATATTAAAGCCACATACTCTTAAATAACCAATTGGCTCAAAGAAGAAATCAAAAGTGAAATAATGAAAATGTCACAACATGCCAAAACCTAAGGAATGCAGCTAGAACAGTGCTGAGAGGAAAAAAAAATTGTACCTGTAAATACCTACAGTAAGGAAGAAGAAAGTTTTTAAATAAATAACCTAACTTTTTACCATAAGAGACTGGGAAAATAAAAACCAACTAAGACTAAAGCAAGAAAACAAAAAAATTCATGTTTAAATTGGACTTCACTAAAAAGAGAGAATAGAATAGATAGTCTATTCTATTCTGTTCTATTCTATTCTCTGCCCTCCATACTGGAGAAAAGAGAGTTTTTGATAGAGAAAATCGGTGCCATCCAAAACTGTTCTTGGAAAGGATCAAATAAACTGACAAACCTTTAGCTAGATTGATGACAAGAAGGAAGACTGAAGTGACTTGAATAAGAAGTGAAAGGTGAGACATCACTACCAATTTTATATAAACAAAAATGAGCACAAGGAATATTATGATTTGTACACCAATGAATTGGATAATTTTCATGAAATGCACAAATTCCTAAAAAGACCAAAACTAACACAAGAAGAAATACACAATCTGATTAGACTTATAATAGATAGAGATAGAGGATTAGTAATAAACAACAACAACCAAAATTCCCTGCTGGTAGTTGACTAGTAATCAATAAAGTACAGGTTCTGGTGACTTCTCTGCTGAATTTTAAAAACCATTGTAGGAAGAGTTAAGATCAATTCTTCACAAACTCTTTCAGAAATAAAAGAGAAGAGTATATTTTCCAACAAGTTCCATGAGGCCAATACTATACTGATACAAAAAGTACAAAACATTATTTAAAGAAATTAATAGAGACTTAACTAATTGTGGAAACAAAAAAAAA